TAATATGAAAAATTGTGAGTCATAAATGCAGAATTGTGATTTACATGTGGTTTACAGTTTTCTCTTTGAATTCTGGCTTTATTTTTTTGTTTCTGTCAACTTTTTAACTCACAATTCCGTTTTTTTTTTCACAGTTGTGGGATTATATTTCAAATGAAGACTTTTCTTCTCAGAATTGCGAATTATAAATTTGCGATCGCGAGTTAACATCTCGCAATTCTGCCTTTTTTTTCAGCATTTTCAGTCAGTCTCATTTCCGCTGTAACTTTACTTCTAACTTCAACTGTTTTCGGAGCAGCCTCAACTCTGATTGGTTCTGTTCACTAGCTGGGGTTGGATCTGCGGGTCCCTCTTTTTTGTAGCTGATTGAGCTGAAATGATTAATAACCATCAGACTAAAGCATTTTTATAGAAGGGAGAGAGGAGTTATTTGGAAAGCATTTTTAACTAAATTGCATGTTTTGGAGGTTTTCATTAAACTCTCAGGCATACAAGCTGAATATATCCTACAATGATTCATATAGGGGAATATATAGCATAACTACTGGATTTAGTGGCCCCTTGGGAAATGTCATAAGTGCATATCCTGGAAGAGGTCACCCAGTACTCATCATAATACTGCTCAATATATTTAGTAGTTTACATCTGAGAATGACATGCAGTCTCACATTGCTCCAGGGAATCTGTTCCTGCAGTTAGTGTGCTATTAGGTGCTGAATGAAAAGTGTCAGTCAAATGCGTCGTAACTCGACAGGAAAAGCTGCTCTTTGTGTCCCTTAATTGAAACATTCGGAAGAATAACAACTCTTCAAATTTACCAACATATCCATCCGCAACTCTAGATGAAGTTAATTTCATTTCATCTTAAAAAAACATATACCAATATACTAGACCACATTTTGTCTATAATAAACATGTTTTTAAAAAGCAGGAAAAAAATGTAACAGAAAAGAACTCTGTACCCTATTCATTGTGTTCAGGTCAGTAAGTCTCTTAAAAATCATATAATTTGCCATTTAATGACACAGTTAGTGTTGCTTTTTATATTGTAAAATATGTTTCAAAAGCTTCTCTTTTTTTAATGGAAATATAATGATTATGTTAAAACAGTTAATAGTTAAATAGTTAAAAAATGTCAGTGACAAATAAACAATTTCACGGTTCTTCTTAGGCAGGGCCGTTTCTAGCCAATTTGACGCCCTAGGCGAAATCCCTATTGCCACAATCTGCCACAAATACTGCCTAAACAAAATACTGATTTTGTGCACTTTATTTACTGTACCAATATTTTAAATTGGCCTTTGAACTTAGCTTTATTGCAAAAAGTGTTACCTTGCCAAAGCACTGACAGAGCCCATCGATCTAATGGCGTTGTTGAGCGCTCCAAATGCAAACTTTGCATGCAACAATCAGGCAGCAATTGATAGCACTCTGATCTAGTGGCATACAGGCATCGTCAGATTGACAGTACTCTAGCCCAATAATGTTGGGGGATCCAGTGGGGGCCGCAGTCATATTTCAGGGTGACCGTGCCACTCTTTATCACAACCCTGCTAAAAGTGCCAGTACCTGCGCTCATTGGTGCCCCTTCAGCTGGTGGCTGAGAGAGATAAGAGTTGAATGATTTAATACATCCACCATCTGCTATACTTGACTTCCATGCAGACTGGCACTTTATGCAGTTTGAAGATGTTGCAGATATGAACTTGTGTTTGAACTTGTTGACACTGCAACACCTTCTATAAATGTGTATTGATGAGTGAATCTGCTCTACTCCACCCACTGCACTTCAGTCTCTGCATCTGTCTCACTTCAGATGCAGAAATATGTGTCAGAAGTGCAACCATGGAAACCCATCGCAGAAGCACATCCAGCACATGGGATATTAGATCATTCAGATAATGGAATCTAAAGCCTATTGCTCTTTATCTAACGTATAACGCATTCGTTTTCACTGTTTCATATAGTGTATCAATAACGTACGCTTGACGCATCTCAAACGCACTGATTAAAGTACTATTTGCTTTATTGTAGATTCAGTGTACAGCTGAAATATATGTCATATGTCTGCGAAGGCATATTTCTGTCATCTTACTAGCGGTATGCACGGTAAAATAAAGGCGAACTTGGGGGGCTGTCTTTGCGTGCGGTGCGCCGCCCAACCGGAGATGCACGAGCGGACACTGGCTTATTCGCTCTGGTGCGGACACCGGAGTCGGCGAGGTATGTGTCTAGACACCGGAGTTTCGATTAAATAAAAAAAGATACTTACAGAAACCAAACACCTGAGCGTTTTCTTTTCCCGCCGGCTGCTATTTACCAACGGTCGTTTCTCGCGCCATCAGCTGTTTGAATTGCCGCCTCACGCAGGATTGCAGCGCCCTGCTCTTCGTAAACATTCGTGAATGGAAAGCGATTGCAGAGCAGACATACATCTTGTCAAGCGTTTCTCGAATCCTCTGCGGTTTTGTGATCGATTCGCTGGATCCTCTTGCATCCTTTGAGGGAAGATGGAGACCTTCTTCGCAGAGGTGAGCTCATTTTCTAATGAGGGAACGAACGTGTCATTTCATCTGTTGTGCTTTATGTGCAATGCAAAAACAAGAGATAATGTGCTGTATTTGTGAAATAATTCCTCAATAATCTTATGATGTAAAAACCGGTGGATAATTCTCATTGCCTGTACCCCAGGTTGTTGCATATGTTGCGGTGTCCTCCTATAACACCGCAATTCCGTTTAAATGCAGACGTGCTACTGTTTATCGTTTAAAAGCGCTTCATTAAAAGCAACCAGTGCGTTATTTGTCACGTTGACAGTAGTTTATGGTGATGTCGCGTGCATCGGTGTCTCGCGCTCGCCTGGGCTGTGGCGCGCGTGAGGGGGGAAGGGGCTCGCGCATTGAAGCAGAGGCAGGGTCTCTATCTGAAATTATGTTTCTGCAAGGGTGTCTGCTGTGCAAGGATTTCTAAAGCTTGTTCCATGCATCTGCATTATTCGTTTTGAATTTGATTCAATGTCTCTGATTCCAAAACCAGCGCGTGACTGTGCTGTGAAGGCTGTCCGGACATAATTGAGATGATTTCAGAATTCCATATTCAAAGCATTCACCTTGAGTCTGATAGGAACGTACAGTATATGCAAGGGCTCTTTCCACCCTGAATGCATTGGTGGATTTGTTTACCTGATCTGTATTCTGCAGAACAGGCCCCACAGCAGCTTTTTCATCCATTTGTTTCTGTCTGCATCTCTATGTCTCTATGTCTATCTCTATGTCATTTCTCTATGTCATTTCCTTATCTCTTTCATTTATAGTACAATTAGATGCCCAAATGCTTCTTGATTGGATGATTTGGTCATTGCTCTCCTCTCTGTCTGTTAGATGCACGTATAAACACCTGCATTTTATCTAATACTGAATTACAGCATCCCCATTAAGCCATTTATCTTCTTGAGCACATGCCATGTGTCTCAAATGGTTTTAAACAGTCAGCAATTAATCTGTATCGGTGTGGACAGCACACCAACACCAGGCTTAGTAAGTAAATTACATTAAATGATGATGCAGACACTCTGGATATTGTATTTATCAGATAGAAGAGAAAGAAATGGCAAAAATAGGCTATGTGATGGCCCATAGGAACAGAGCGGGAGAACTTGATCTTTGGATCTTCACTGGCTACTATCTGGAAGGGCCATTAATTTAATTCATGGGGCATTTACAGTGACATCTGTCTCTGTGTAGGTTCTAATTGCTGGTTTTTCCAAGTGGTTCAGATAACAAAGATGCTTGTGATACATCAGCTAGAATGGGTACAGCTAGATGGTTCTTGCCCATGCAAAAATGTCTGCCAAGATGGGAGCTGTAGGTGGCTGGCAGGTGGTTCTAAGGTGTTTTGAGTGGTTTTTAGTGTATTGCTGTGTACTAAGTCAACAGAAACCACTCTGTCTTTTGACATTATATATGAAGTAAATATCAAAGATTTTAATAATAATGCTGGCCTTAGTCAGTGTTAGTGTAGGGTTCAGAGGTCAAACTTTCCCCCAATAGAGTTGTGTAATAAGGCTTACACTTTTAAATGGGGTAATATGTGTTCGATGCAGTGGAGCACATAAGTTCCCAAAATACAGACTTGACCCTCCTACTAATATCCTTGTGTCTGCATGCCTGACATCCTAATGTGTCATCGCCCAACATCGTCTCAGAAGCCCAGGGGTGTTTCTTGAGATCCTGAAAGCTCAGTGACCCTTTAAAGCACAACACACACGCACAAACTGCTCTCGTTTCCATTTTATTCTCCCTCTTTCTTTCTATCTATCTCTCTTTTAGCACCCATTTCTCTGCTGTCTGCTCTGTGGTGACAGTTCAGGTTATCATTTTGGTGACTCAACAGTCCACACCTCCAGTCCCCACAGTAACATTGGAAGGGAGGCATGTTTTACTGGGTCACCCCATGGTCCTAGTGCTGGGTATTTAATTTTTGAATCTCGAGTATGGCTCGGAATTAACTAGATTTTCAAAATCAGAGAAGACTGACATTTCATAGAAAAACAAAATGTTTATGATTTAGACGTGTTAAGAGATGTGTCATTGATTTTTAAAAAATATTACAAAATCCTAGTCTAATTATATTGTGGACCCACTTTCAAGGCAATTTTCTAATGCAGGCCAGTCAGTGCTGACCATTGTAATAGCTCTGTTCAGATGAGAATTGAATGTGAAGGCCTACATCTTTAAAGGAGGTTCTATTTTTATGCACCGGTTTTTAAAATCTCAGTTCGAAAAACATCCTCAAACTCTATCCATTTGAACTCATACAGAAAATTGAATTAATAAAGCATATCTAATTGGAGCACTGTTTTATCCCAAAACTTTTTTTTAAATGGTCCGGAATGTAACAGCCAAATCAACAGCCACTGAATTTCTCTCAATCTGGCATCCTGTGGTCACAATCAGCCAATTTGGCAAACCCAACCTTGACCTTGATGTCACTCGTTCTTGACCGTGATGAAATTTAAACACTATGTGAGAGTAGTGTAAATCCTAAAATGATGAATTTTGCATCAGAGTGTTAGAGAGGATATGCACACGAGATTCAATACTGAAAAGAGTGTCCATTTAAATGCATGTGTGGGTTTGTTTTTTAATGTAAAATGTAAGGATTTGGATGGGTTTTTAATAACTGAAGGAAAACATTTTCTAAATAGCTTTAATTTAGTTTTAAAATTGACATTTTCATTCAATTTTTATTTTGTTTTATTTTTAATATGACTCATTTTTTGTAGATTTACACACTCACACCTTCATTTTTGAGCCAGAGCTGTAGTAAAAATGTAGAAAATAAAAAGAGAGTAATTCAAAATGTGTTCAGTGTTAATTTCACATTTTTTTGTCGGGTCACAGTTTTTCAGGTCAGATTCTGGCTTTAAAGGGGTCATATGATGTTGCTAAAAAAAAACATTATTTTGTGTATTTGGTGTAATGCAATGTGTTTATGCGGTTTAAGGTTAAAAAAACATTATTTTCCACATAATGTACATTATTGTTTCTCCTCTATGCCCCACCTTTCTGAAACGCGTCGATTTTTACGAAGCGCATAGGTCTGAAAAGCGAGGTGTGCTGTGATTGGCCAGCTATCCAGTGCGTTGTGATTGACCGAATACCTCAAGCATGTGACGGAAATATTACGCCCCTTACCATATTGTGATGCCGTGTCCCGGCGCGACGAGACAAAACCAATAAAACCCATTATAAACAAGGCATTTGTGCATCCAGTGGGGACATAATTACTGATTATAATGACTTATATTGTCTTTTTTCGCGTTGTGTTGCGTATCGTGCTGCGTAAACATAAAACCATGTCTGCATTTGTGATCGGAGAAACGACAAACAACAAGCGCTACGCTACACTGCCCAAAACTCGCATTTGAATCGTCAGTGGCAAATTATTTAAATATGAAAACTTACTTACAGGCTGTGAGTCAGAAGCACCAGACTGTCCTTGCAAAGTTGGAATTGCCCCACTTTATAGAAACAGACACCGGCATTGCAGAAATGCTTGCAGACATAATTGTGCCACTATGGCATGTCCACAATCTGAAGCAATGGTAACTGGAGAGTGCCAACCCAAAATGTCTCTCACCAAACACAGAGATCTATTTATAAACATTGGCTGGGGGGAAAAGTAGAAAAAGGACAGGAAGTCAGAGAAAAGAGTGCTGAAAAGAAAGAAGGAATAAAAGGAGAAATCACATCGACTGTCTCTGAACTTCTGAATGGAATGGATGGTGGCAAGCCATCTACATTTTTATGGCTTTTAACTGTTACTATAGTATAAAAAATATAGGACCTCATGATGTATCGGTACCATATTACCAGCAAATTTTTTATCTGCATGTGCCAGTAGTGCATTTATATTGCATGCTCATCTCTGGCATCGTCCAACACCTAATAATCTAAAGTTCTAAAGTTATTTTGGATTAATAGTAATATGGAATCTTGTGAGGTTCTTGTGAAGTTTTTGGTAGATAAAGTGTGAGGAAGGCTATGAGATTTGCTGACAGGAGCTTCAGCAAGTGCTTCAGCAGCTGTTTCACAGAGCAGAAACTAAAGATCATTTGAAGTCTCGGTTGAGAAATCTGTATCATCCTTTATTACATGCATTCCAGGTCAGAGCAGAATTCACATTAGCATCCTTTCCTCCTCATAGTGACATGAATTGGGTGTCCTCTCCCGCTCTCTGTGGTTCTGTGTAGTGTTGTTTTTGGTGGCCTGTTTTAATTTTAGTTTTAGTCTAGTCTTTGTGTGAAGCTGTCATTTTAGTTTTTATTAGTTTTAGTCACGTTCATACTCTTTTTAGTCTAGTCAAGTTTTAGTCAACTAAAAGTCTGAGCATTTTAGTCTTATTTTAGTCAGAATTATCCATGACTATTTTCGTCTAGTTTTAGTCGACGAAAACTGATGAAATTTTAGTCTAGTTTTAGTTGACGAAAACTGATGACATTTTAGTCAATGAAAATTGTATTTTAGTCTCTTTTTAGAAATGCAATTCTATTTAACCCAGTCAATATAGTATAAGTACCTAGTAGTATAGACGAAACCAAAATGTTCTTTTAGCCAAACCCATTTCAAACAAGGTTATCTTATTATATTATTGTTACCTTATAGACTCAAGAATACATCCATTCCAGACACGGAAGATGCTCTGATTTGAATTTACAACATTTATTTTACCAACCAAACATGTTAGAAGTACACACACATACATTTAAATAAAGACGAACCGGCCTGGCCGGCCATCTGTCCCTTTCTCTGTGTCAGACTTAAAGGGGTCATATGATGCGATTTCAAGTTTTCCTTTCTCTTTGGAGTGTTACAAGCTGGTTGTGCATAGATAAGATCCCTGAAGTTGCAAAGACTAAAGTCTCAAAACCAAAGAGATATTCTTAATCAAATTTAAGACTCTGCCACGCCCCCCTAAAACGGCTCGTTCTAACACGCCCCCACATATCTACCTCACTATGTGGGAATAT